AGCCAATGACCCCTGTCCAGGAAGCAGTGTGACGTCATTGATGTCTTTTTTCGGGCGAAGCACGACACAGGAATGATGCGTGAGGGCAATTCTCCCCGTTCGACACCCGCATTTTATGTCCGGAAACCGAAGGCAAGTGGCGTATCGTTTACGCTTACAATAAGCTCAACGTTGCCGCCATTCCGGCACAGATACTGATTCCTAGAAAAGATGATCTCCAAAACGACTTAGTTTGACGTAAGAAGTGCAGTGCACTCGATTTGGTCGATGAGTGTTACTGATTTATTTTTAAAGCGAGTGATATTCCGCTGACAGCAATGAGTACTCCAAGTGGTATGCTCCAGGAGTGGCTGGTGATGCCGCAAGGGCTGTCAAATGAACCAGCAACATTAGATCGTCTTGTGACGCAGCTGTTCAGGCCTAAACGGGCAAATGCAGGGACATACTTTGACGACATCTTCGTCCACAGTCGTGTGGCGCACGTGAGGACAGATTTGTAAAACCACATCGTCCGTTTGAAAGCGGTGCTCGAGTGCATGCGCACAATTAACTATATGCTTATGCCGATAAGATCATTTTCGGCGCGTGAGAAATCCCTTTTTTAGGGTGCTTCAATTGAAAGCGTGGCCTTCGAGCGATTCCCGCTAAGATCAAGTCCATTAATGAATGACCGGTATCAAAAAACCAATAGGACTTGCGCAAGTGGCTTGGCATCGCCAACTACTTGCACAAGTATAGCGCAAATATTGCGGAAAAAGTACTACCATTGTCGAACCTCCTTGAGAAGGATAAGGAATGGTGTTGGGGACACCGAGCATCGGAAAGCGTTTGACAGAGTCAAACACAGCATCCTTCATGCACCATAGCTGGCATTGCTTGACCCCGATCGTCCTATATGTGTCGTCAGAGACGGTTCGGACTTTACCATCGGCTGTGCACTGCTTCAAGCAGATGCCGAGGAGCAAGATCGGGTGATCGCGGTTGAATCTCGCCAGCTTAAGGTCGTGGAGAAGAATCAGCGAGTCCACGACAAGAAGTTACTTGCGGTGAAGTATGCACTCGTCAAGTTCAGGGTACACCTGCTTGGATCGAAGCCGTTCATGATCTAAACAGATCATACGTCATTACTCACTGCGACCCAGTCGCCTTACCTTTTGCAGAGGATGGCCAGGTGGCTCTCTTTCTTCGCAAAATATAACTTAGAGGTGAAGATTAAGCCAGGAAAGCAAAATGCTTTGAATGATGCGTTATCACGCAGACCGGATTGATGAGCTCGCTTATGCCACGACGGTAACGTCGTCAGTGACGGATTTGATCCACGCCGCTTACACGGTGATGGTATGTGTTTAGCGCTGCTACAGGCTCTAGGGAGCAAGGAGTGTGGTAACTCGGACAAGAAATTGTCGGCGCGATTGCGCGCACGGTTACACCGATATTCGCTGAATAACGAGTTGCTACATTGTACCACCGATTTGACGGATACGCTACGAATTGTGGCTCCCCATGATGAGGATTTGAAATACCGTATCCTCTATGAAGCCCACGACACCTCACTCAGTGGTCATCTCGGTCTTGAAAAGACATACAGCTCTGCGAGTTGCCACTACTGGTGGCCCAATCTGTAAAAATGGACAAGCACCTATGTGCGCACGTGTGAGACGTGTCAAAGCGTGAAACCTCTCCGAATGCGGCGGCGTCGCTGGTCACTTTGTCGGAATTCTCTGGGTGTTGGCAGTCCAAGAGTTTGGACTTTGTGTTCAAATGGTGATAAACTAACCAAACCTTTGATCTATTGGTAAGAAACAATACATAGTGTGGCTAGAATTTCAACTTCTACCCCATACGCAAAGTCTTTAGATTAGTTGATCCCATACTTTAAAAATGACGATACAGAGCACAGACGCGGAGTCGAACACTGCCGGATCTATACGAGAATTGGTCTTGCTGGATGTAATGAACAGCTGTGGGTTGATGTCTCATTTCTTAGGCCGGAGAAGAACAGAAGCACGCTACATAACTAATGTTTTTCTCCTGATTTCAGTATGTACATCTTTTTACTCGTGATGCTTTTTCTTATCTCGGTATAAAAGGGACAAACACACAAAGCAATGCGATGAGGTCTGCTGTTTATTGCGCCTCGTGTTTGCATCAGGTTTGACGAGGCAATGAACGCATGATGTATTTGTTTCGAGCGAGGGATCAATGCATCGAGCGCTACTGTTCTGTCTTTCGACATCATTAAGAGATTGGTGCTTGCCCAATAACTCATAGTAGCTTTATGGTTTTCTACGGACAAAATGTAGAAGGTCGCGATATGGCACGCTTCTGGCAATAGCACGATGTTTGGCCGACATGAAATGAATCAAATGTCTGGTCGATGTTTGACCGGACACGGATTGAATCAAATATCTGGTCGATGTTTGAAATGAATTAAACGTTTCACTACCAATAAATATCCAGCTCATTATTGAAATAGATCCTGATTAAGTCGAAGGTTCTGAGAATATATGCGAATTCAATAAGATACAATGGACACATTTTCGCAAAATATATCTAATACCCAAAGCTTGTCTTGTAATCAACAAGAATCATGTAGGCACAACTGAGTTTTGAGTGCGTGAGCATTTTGTGTTGTTGAAGATGCTGATGAAGAAACGCCTCGAACAGCGACCACATATCGATAAGTACCGGTACCGGCAATCAGTTAATGACTGCTTGAAGTAGCAAGTCCAAGATAAGCACATTTTCGGTATCAGAATGGAATCGTTTTATCATGATCAACCTTGGAATGGTGTCAGTTTGTGATTGGTTGAGATAAAGCATAGGCTTAGAGGTAGTATGTTGTCGTGGCCTAAGGACATTTTGTATATTTGTTGCAATTTGTTAACTAGTAATCACTTCGACTTTTTCATCAGGTAATGACCCCAAGACACTAACTCTGCTGCCTTTGCTTACGGACTACGGTCTAGCCATGGACACTACGACCCATCGTCTCAACAAATTTGACGGCGCGGAACCTCACCTATGGGGATCTAAGATGCAGATGGCGCTGGAAGAGCGGGACTTACGGGATGTGGTGAGCGTGTAGGCGACGCCTGAGCACTTGATGAATCAGCTGGACCAATCCATTTTCAAGCGAAAGCCACGCAAGGCCATGACGATTATCTGTCCCGCAATGAAGGATTCGCAACTGCATCAAATTCGGTCGTCAAAAGGCGCGTATGATGCATGGTCGCGTATTGTAGGGCATTTCGAGAAAAGAGCTTGGCAAATAAGCTTTCTTACGTCCGTATTACTTCGCGACGACGATGGACGAGGGTGATGATGGGCTTTAGCTCATCAACAAGATCAAGACGTTGGCAAAGGAACTTGACACAGTGGGTATTTGCGAAGATGGTCCGGTCATCAGGCTTCTCGAAAGCTTAATCGAGTCGTACGCGTTCCTGATTACGGCGTTGGAGTCCAGATCTGACTTGTTGTCGTGGGAGCTCGTGACGTCTCGGCTAATGCATGAAGACATGAAACTCAAGGAACAATGTGGCGGCGTCAATGAATCCGCGCACACACATAGGCAAGCGTTCATGAAAACGGACAATGGATAGTGTATGGAACGCCAAGCGACATCTATGGCTAGAAGTACGTGTCATTATTGTGTAAGTGCCCCATGAGAGTTCGTGAGAACGCAGATGGGCAACGGCCGGCACAGCGCACAAACACCATGCAGAGAAGAGACGGCTGCGGTGATTTTTCATCCCGGTTGGTGGAAACTCAAGAGACACCACGTCGAGTCGCGTATGGCTGGTCGGCTCGGGTGCAACACAACACATGAAATTTTCGAAAGATTTTTATGAAGAACTACAAGGAATCTCTGATGGACTTTCATCTTGCAGACATCGACGTTGTTCAAGCAATCGGGCATGGAATCAAGAGGGATATGCTCTGCGGACTATGGCATAATCCAAATCTATCGCGCAATCTTTCCTCCGTTGGACGTTTCACAGAGGATTTCGGGTTGTCACGTTTGAAAGCGATAGCTGTTCTGTCAAGGCAAATAGCATGCAATTGAAGCTTGGAGTCCGCGAGGGTAAAGCAGGGGTCAAGACACTGTCATCAAAAACAATTATGGCATTGACAGTGGTATTGATTCGGCTAATCAGTGAGATTTGAGCGATGTTTGTGCAGTTGTCAAACAAACACGGGTAAGCTTATGCCAAAATCGCCCCATCACGCAAAGAAGTAGATGATGTGTGTGGTCCTATGCAGTCAACAACTTTAGCCGAAGTGAGTACTGGGTCCTACGTGTTCGAAGATTGGGGTGCACTTCTGGCGGTAAGCGATACTTTGTCACCTTCACGAACGAGTGCTGGTACTTTACCTCGGTGTTTATGCTGCGGAACAAGGCTGAAGTCACCGACAAACTTGCCGAGTTCGTTACTTTTGATGAAACTTAGACTGGCAAAGTTTTCAAAGCAGCGTGGTATTGAGCAAAATATCACGCTCCTTTATACTCGAAAACTTAAATGAGTAGCTGAACGCATGAAGCGAACTAAGTGAGAATAAGATTGAGCACGCTGGACTGGCAAAGACGTATTGGGGTGAAGCACCTATGACGGCTGCTTTTCTTCGCAGCCGTTGCCCAAAGGCGAGGCAGTGTCATGGATAATTCACCATACCAAGTTTGGACTGAACGGAAATCTGTGCTGACGAATTTAGAGGTTTTTGGATGCCAAGCATTTGTTACAGTGCCCAAGAAAAAGCGCAGCTTGATGCTCGGCCGGTACACTGGCCATTTACTTGGCTACTCGGAGCAGGAGATAGCGGATTAATTCAAAGATTTCGACAGTAATCGTGTGCTTGTTAGCCCCGACGCAACGTTTATAGAGGATACTTAATAGTGGGAGGCGAGACTGGCGCTACAATGAAGTCGTTGTTCAAGATGAAAATGAAGAGACTGATGAGAACCCCCCCACACCATGATCATACCGACCATGAAACTTGAAGGAGAATTTGAGCCTGGCAGTAGCCAAATCAACAGACCCAATCGCTTGGAATAGCGACTCAAGTACTAATGTCTAAACGACAGAGTCAACATCAATCGCTTGAAGAAGTGTCAGTCTGGGCAGCCAAAATAAGCATAATCCGGATCGACGTAATTTTGGCCACAGGTGCAAACGCTTCTTCATAGTCGATGTCAAACTTTTGTGCAAACCCTTTGGCCACTTGACGCGCCTTGTACCGCTCGACTTCGCTAGCTCGATTCTCCTTGACGCGAAACCTCCATCAACTGCCAATTTGCCATGCGTCCTTTCGGAAGGGGTACGAGCGTCCAGGTTTGATCTTTTGAAGTGACTCCATTTCGAATTGCATGCTTCCTTCCAATTAGCTGCGTCGTTGAATTCAATCGCCGACTTAAAAGTAGTTGGTCACTGAATCCACGACGTATCCAGCCTCAAAGTCTTGAGCTGTGTACGGATTATTGGTCCATCAGATGGATGTGAAGACATCGTTATTAAATGACCACCTTGATGAGAATATCTTCATGGTACAGCCCGATGGCTTTACGGATATGGTCAATCCAGACTATGTATGCAAGTTTCAGCGGTCACTGTATGCGCCTCGTATGTGAAACAAGGTCATTGATGACTTCATGCTGGGATTGTAATCCAAGAAGTGTAAGTCCGATCACTGTGTGTGGAATGGCCAGTCGTCGTGCTTCACATTGATGATTTAATTTTGGCCAGCAGTACCAGCAAGATGCTTCGAGAAACCTAGCAAGCACTCGGCAAACGATTTGAAACGATGGATTTGGGTCAGCTAAATTTCTTTTTTGAAATTGAAATCGAGCAAAACTTCACGATCGGGACTCTGACGGCAAACCAGATTTGCATGCGATATCAAGTTTAATATGGAAAACAGAAAGCCCGTCAGAGGTAGCTAGGACTTAAGCTCACCAAGTCCATGTGCGATGAAGGATACAAGCTCAACAAGACTATGACTGATGTACCGTATCAAAATGCTGTTAGCTGCCTGCTCTACCGCATAGTCGGCTCGCGCCCGGATCTTGCTGCAGCGATTGGAGCGCTAAGCTAATTAGCAGAAGACCCGTGTCCAGCACACTGGCAAGCGTTGAAGAGAGTCTTTAGATACATCCAAGAAACAAGGGCGTACGGCATCACGTTTCAAACAGAAAATCATGATGTATTACAAGGATTTCCGGATTCGGATTAGGCCGGAGACACAATGTCGCGAAGACATACAAACGGCTACGCTTTTATGATGAGCGGTGGGTGTGTCGGCTGGAAGAGCAAAAAACAGCGTACTGTGGCACCATCGTATACGGAGGCTGGCTACATGGCATTGTCAGAGGCTACGCAAGAAGCAATTTGGCTTAATGCGTTTTTGTGAGAGTTGGGTAAAAGTTTTTCGGAAACAGCGGTCGTGATCAAGGCTCGATTGCACTAGCAAAGAACCCGAAGTCTTACAAGCGGACCAAGCACATCAATAATCGATACCACTTTGTTAGCGGAAAGATAGAAGATGTTCGAGAGATTCTCGAGTATATTACTACTCTCGACATGCTGGCCGACATGATGACCAAGTTGATTCCTGCAAAGCAGTTCTGTATACTTCAAAGCAAGCTGGATACACAACAGTCGAAGAAAACCGGGTCGAGTGGGAGTGTTGTCGAAGATACTGTTGACGAAATGCCTCGAAGAGCGACCACGTATATGTAAGTACTGGAAGTTGATGACAGCTTGAAGGAGCGAGTCCAAGATGGGCACATGATTGGTATTAGGATGGGAATCGCTATGTCATGATCAACCTTGGGATGGTGTCAATTTGTGATTTATTAAGGTAAATCATAGGATTAGAGGCGGCATGTAGTTGTAGATTAAGGACCTTGTAAATATATTTACTCTGCATTTTACCAACTAATGCTCACTGCGACCTTTTCATCATTCCTTCAATGATAATTCTGATCGATTTCTAACTAGACAGATATCGAAACACTGATAATTGACTGACTCGAAGTTTAAATGACCACTAATCATTGTGAAAATTGCAAAATTCTGATTTTGAAGCGCAATTCAGGTCGCATTTCGCAGCAAAAATCCTAATTTTGTGTAACGGGGTTACACGTACCCTGGTAGCAGCGGTGTGTGTCACACGAGTTGTGCATGGTGTGACCACACCCAAACGAGAATACGTACGGGGCTAGGTAGCCAGTAGTTATGCATATTTAGATTTTACTATATATATTTTGTATATTCAGGAAAATCTAAACTTTTAGCTAGTAGTTATGCATGTATTTCGTTTCTACTATATACATATAGTATATTTAGGAAAATCTAAACTGTTCAAATTAGGATAAAGCTACACAAACACCGTCTGAACTTCTCCGATATCGAGGCAAAAAACCAAGCAAAGTAATATTCAGCATTCAGCTATGACGGGTTCGTCTTTGAGCGAAGAACACAGGTATAGATTAATACCAAAGTAATAAATGATATGTTTGTCTCTGCTGTGTCTACTTAGTCAGCTTGCGAACTCCAAGTAACACACAGCCCAACAAAGACATCACTCTCATAGAGTGTAAGTGCTGGCGCACCACATTTACATTAATCCAATTGACAAAGCTATCATTGCGTTTGCGAGTCAAGCGTTCAAAATTGATCTCGACAGGCACGTCACAGAAGCATACAGGGGCGTCCTTGGGGTAAAATGTACGCATCACCACAAGATTTTGGCCATGTTGGTCGGCTAACGACGAAGACTTTTGATAACAGACGAATACTTCATCGTCACCATCGTGATCATTAACAACTCGTCTAGACGCGAGCTGCAGGAAGCGTTGTTACACGTAAAAGAACTGTTCTTGCGTAGACAAGTTTGTTGGCACAGCACGCGTGGCGGACGATGATGGTTATACGGAAGTTTTTGAATTTCATACATAAGGAAGTCGTCGAGTTTTAAGCCTTCTTTTTCAATATGCGCTATCAAAATTGAAGACGATTGCATATTTGAATTCGGTAGCCTTTTTCCTAACAAAGATTTTAGCTCTGCATGTCTTTGTCACTCTCGGACGTATGGATTTTAACCCGAACAGTCAATTAGCCTTGACAAGGCAGTAATTACTCTTGGAGTAAGCGGATTGCGATCCGCTAACTCATACTTAAAGAACGAAAGGTCGGTGGCCTAAATTACGCTTCCTCAAGCGCTAAGCTACGGCAGCCCCACTGCATATTGGGTTTCAAACAATGATCATTTCTCAATTCACCGCGCAGAGTCTCACCCGAGTCAAATCTCTTAATTTATGCAAGCAGATGTCTTGTGGATGCTGTTAATGCATTCACTCAAGTTTATGTATTGGCAGTGTTGAGTCATCCGAAGCCTAATATTGGCATGACTAAATCCAGCCAACAAAGTGATTGAAACAGATTTCTGTTGTCTTCGTCAACGAAACGACTGAAGCACGTCAGGTTGCTGAAGAGAATGAAAAGAGGACGAATTTGTTGAAGAGTTTGCAACTTATATTAAAGGTACAAAGGTAGACAAAAAAGTGTTTACGGATCTAAATGGTACCCAAAATTCGCACATTTAACTGCGATGGTTCCAATGCAAAAGTCAAGGTTGCACTACGTATGATCGTCTTGAGTAAATTCAAGAATCGAGTCGAAAACAATTTGTTAGAATCAATGAGCAGTGCTTTTGAGACGTTGTATAAGCAAGATATAAGTGACAATCAGCTGAGTCCATATGCTGGAAATGCTCAGAACTTTGAATTACAAAGCCTAAAAAATAATCATCTTCATATCTTTCTACTTCGAATATTTTTGTTTTATGAAATGCCTAACTAATTAAAGAAATTGATTCTTGAATTTTTGCAAGAACTTAAGAAATATCGATAAAAGTCGTATGCACACAAAAAATAAATTTCTCAGCAAATCAGAAATAAAGGCTATAACGTCTGAGTGACTTTTATGCTTGAGTCAGTCGAGCCCAGAGCTTCTGCACGTCACCACTCGAGTCAGCAACAATACTACGACCATCCGTGGTAATAACTTTGCCGTCTCCGTCCAAAAATACCAACATAGGAATCCCAGTAACACCAAATTTCGTACTCATTGCCTGGCTGATGGTACGCTCTTCGAATGGTAGTGCTAAGAAAGGCATCTCACCAAAGTATTCAGCATATTGCGAATGATCGCGGTCAGATGAAATGAAGACGAGCTCAAACTCTGGGTGCTTCTTAACCATGTCGTTGTACACCGCACTCAGGAATGGCGTAAATTGGCGGCAAGGCGGGCACCAGTGCGCACTAAAGTAGATACCCACCACTTTCTTGCCGGCAAGTTTACTATCCGTGTCTTGCAGACCATCCTTTGTCTGGAGCTTCGCGCCAAGCTGATCCGACCACTTCATCTCGAATGAATGGAAAATCGTTTTGTAATCTAGATTTCGCTATCATTCCCTGATCACTACCGTGACAGACACAACAATTTTGTCAGAGTTCCATAAATTAATATTATCAACATCTTCCTCGTGTCGAAAAAAAAAACCTCGTCCAGGTATTGCTGCTAATCATATTGCGCGTTAGGCGTAGCTACATATAAATTCTATCAATTGTGGCTAGTAATTTTTAATTTTGAGGCTACAAGAAAAGAAAAGAGCTCAGCAAAATGAACTATAAGAACGTTCTCATAATCTTGTCGATTTTCCTTACAATGTTTACAAGAAATTCAACTCCCAAACCGAGATTTTATGCCTTTGCACTCTCGTCTTGTTCCAATTTCTTCTTAGCGCTCTGACGCGCTTGCATTTTTGACAAGTGACGGTTTAGTGGCTTTTTGGACGGATCGTATTCACGAAGTACCACAGTTATGTGAGTGTGAGGATGGTGCATCACTCCCGAGCGACCTGCAACCATCAAACCACAGCAACAAAAAGCAAAATCAGTCAACCAATTCAACTCACACTTGTATTTAACAAGCTACGCACCTCGGCCCATAATTCGAAGACGCTTAAGGTAAGTGCCTTTGTTTACAAAACACTCGGCCACCATGAGATTTTCGGGCTCGATTTGATATTTGATGTCAGCCAAGTTAATGGCATTCTGTACCGTCTTTCGAAAATGCTCGGCCTTGCGCTTGGGCGAGAATTTCATTTGCAAAATGGCGTCGTTGGCCGACAAACCGCGAATCTGCTGGGCTAGGTAGGTCAACTTACGGGGACTAGCCCGGATCGCACGCTTAACGGTCTTGACGGTACGTAGCTCGCCCGGAGACGTAAGATTCAAAAATGCTGCAGTGTCTTCGTCCTCTGTGGCAGCCTCATCCTTCGTGGAATTTGTGGACACCATTGATTCCGTCGCATAACCGGAGATGGTGCTGCCTGTGCGTGGGCAGAGCGTCAGTATCCTCATCCGAGAGCGCAGCGTGGCCAGCATCTTGTCAAGGTAATTGGCGGCCACACAGAAAAATCAAATTTTTGAAAAATATAAACTACTTCATATCTTAGATAATATCTAATCGATGTTCATATATATTTAAACCTTAAAATATCTAGAACTCTATTTATCAATTTTGTAAGTTATATTCACGGATTTATTTGTACATTAATAAAAAAAAATAGAACGATAGCGTGGATTTTATCAAGCAAAAGATCGTAAGTAAAAAACACGGTAAAGCTTAAAAATTGGAATATCGAGAGAACTTACTACAGCATATACCAAAATTAAGAATGTCAGACTTCTCAACAAATTGAATTGAGTAGTATATTAACTCTACAAGATTTTTCATTGATAATCTCAACAAAACTTGGTAAATGGATGATGTATCCTGCCGGCTATACCCTTCATCATTGACACACGATGCGATTTCATCTGTTGTATTTCACAGAGCTTAATCAAAAACATATACTGGAGAAGTTTGACTTACGCAAAAGGCGATGTAGTACGCGTCTTTTTGTCTGATATCCAAATGCGCAGCTTTTCTAAGTTTTCAATAACGATGTCATCCTCCTCTTCATCGCTGCCATACGCACCAATGCTCATCCGATCGACACTTGCACGATCAGCAGCACTTGTATAATCCGCGTCGTCTGGTAACCATTCAATGTTTACTTCAATGTCGGTTCTGTTCGAAACTAGAGGCATCAAATGTGACACGAATCGCTGACGAGCAGCAGGCGGAAGAGACGGAATCTCAATGCCGCGCACTGTAATCTTAGCTGCTGACGTCCCCACGACGATATTAGCAATCCACTCACCAAGATACTCAAACTTATCAGGCCTTCCTTTGCAGATATCACGTCGAAGGGACAAAAAAAATTCAGGTGTAAAGTCCTTGCATAATTTTTGAAGCTTGTACTGCACAATGGCCTCATTTAGCGCCTGCATCTGCTCTGTGTTTTCCATTCCATGCGTACCCAAATCATAGCACTCGCTACACAGATTGTAATTCGAGCATACACTACAAGTCCATAGCGCACCTATGACTGGGTCCATGCCACAGCCGTCGCAAAATGAATTCGGATGTACGATCGTTTTCTTTCGCTTCCATCTAGAGCCAATGATAGATGCACCTTGGCTCATAGCAGCGCCGAGACGCCCTATCAGCGGCTTAACAGGTGAGCCTTTTTTGTCAGGCAAGCTTTTAGAATGCCCGCCATCCTTGTCGTGCAAGTCACGCTGAAATACGAGCGTGCGCGGTAGTGTCGATGACTGAATAATCTCTAAAACTTGATCTTTCGTCATATGAGGTTCAATGTGCAGCCCGTTAACACTAACGAGACAATCTCCAACGACTACGCCACCACGCTGTGCGGGACTGTCTTTCTCCACACTACAGACCTCAACTAAAAGCTCGTTCTCCAACGACACAACAACATTCGTATGAAAGCCTAACACTTGCTCTGTAAATGTCAACGTGTACGTATTAAGAGGTCGCTCCACAAAATCAGCCTCAGATTGAGACCGCAGCTCTGACTTTCCCTTTGGAGCATAAGTTGCACTAGAGTTCGACGAATTGCGTCCTGAAGACTCGCCGCTACTCGTCACACTGCCTGAACTTGCTGTCACAGCCGGAGCACTACTTACAAACCGTGGAGGTTTATCGTGCAGTGCAACCCGACGCAAGGTATGCAACGCACGAACTGATGAAGGATCAGACACCACACTAGGACCCAAAAATCGATGTGAAGTAAACTCGTCCTGACTTTCACCAAAGTCAGCAGTGCCGCCGTATCCCAGTGGTGTACCCAAGTCAGCATTTACGTCGTCGTCTTCATCTCCTCGATATATATCCGACTCATCACTGTCGCTAGCTTCATCGTCAATATCGTGATGCACCAAGTTCATAGGCTGTGGCGATGGAATCACCAATTCTATCTCGTGGCCCTGAACTTTTTCTTCTTGTACGGTAAGTTCAATTTCATGAGGTTGCAATTCTGCCTCTACGTTCTCTTCGACACTAGTATATGGTGAAGGTACCGATTGCAACCCTGCAGCGTCTTCCTGCACGAGTAACTCTGTTTCAACTACAATGTCATCCTCAAAAGAATTTTCACGTGGATGATCCACAGGTGTCTTGGGCTCCACAAAAGTCTCTACAGGTGTAGAGGGCTCTTGTTGCACTTCAGCTGAGGCACTATATTCTTCATGTGATATATCCGTACCTTTCACAAGCGTCACAGACTCTTGTGTCGAGATTGTGAGTTTTGAGTCTGTAGTTTTGAAGGATTCTACAGGTGTCGTGGATTCTAAGTGCGTCTGCACTGCTACTGTCGCGTCCCCATAAATTATAGGATCCTGGTGTGCATCTTCGAAAGACGAAAGATCATCATCTAATGGTGTTGAGGCTTCCACGGGCGTCTTGGCACTTTGTTGTGTTTCTATGCATGCTATATGCTCTTCATCTGTTGTAATTAAAGGATCCACGGGCTTCACCGGCTCTTGTATTACTTCTACAGTACGTGAACTCTCGTTGAGAAACGCTTTCGAGTTCTCCACAGACGTCATAGGCTCTTGGTATGTTTCTGTCAAACTCTTTTCAATCAAAGTATTTGGTGCCTCTACGGGCACCTTGACCCCCTCCGCAGGTGACGAGATTTCCTGTTTCGGTATTTGCTTTAGTAGCGAGTCATCATCGTCGTCATCACTGTCCGTGCGCGCTTTGTCCGACTCGGCACCGTCCTCGATGGGCTTCTGCGGCTCCAGCTGTTCTAACACAGGACTCTGTTCTGTCTTCACCTCGATTACGGCGCTCTCTAAAACAGCAGACAAGTTCATTGTGCTGGATGTGGTCTCTACATTAGCGCGTTGCGACTCCACGTCGATCATTATGGGCGACGCTGCATTGGCCGACACGTTCATCTATTCAGCAATGTATAAGTAAGCGCTTGCTAAACAGATCACTTTTACTATCAGAAAACCTATGTTTAGGTGGTACAGTGAGGATAGAAAATAACCTGTATGTACATAAAACTCATTGTCTTTCGGAGTGACCGACCCGGCCCATAATTGTCAACTCGGTGCAAAAAAGTTTGAATTTGAGCTCTGAGTGAATTGTGTTTAATGATTGTTATTGGCTTGTTGGCGTCGAAATATTTGTATGTGTCTTTCATCAATGCCTATATCAATAGTTAAACATAGTATGTCTGGTGCAATTCATCTGATGAACCTTTAAAATAACGGTCGTGTGTCATAAAAGACAATCTGAGAACTGAGTTACCAATTTCTTCTTGTGTCGCCAATTATCGCAAGCTGTCCGCATGCGCTTCACTTGAAGCCAAAGTGTCGACTTTCATAAGCATATACTATTGATATCTTGCGATTCAAGGCCGACGAGATGGCCAAATTTTGGTTGCGACAGATAACTTTACCTGATCTCTGTCTGGTTCTTGATATTTAATCAAGATCTTTTCAAACGCTTTTGCGCTTCGACACTTTCCCATTTTTACAGTATGCTGTACGCCACCCGCGGGTGGGCTGAGGGTTTCGGCCTGTGTCACCTGCTGTTACGATTTAACTCTTCGTCCTGTGTTCAGCAAATTTAAAGCATAAAATTAAATGTGATCTTAAACATTGTTGCACTATATTTTACTTACTGTTTGAGCTTCCACTTTATGTGCATGGTTTAAAATGTAACTTACACTGCGTTTGTTGAGAATTTTTTCATGTAGTTTAGCATTCGACCTTAAGACATGATAATATACATAAAGCAGGCTCCATCGGTCGTGCTCCTCACTTAAATATGAATCACGAGCAATATGAACGAGCGCAGTATTGAAAGACAAGCATGACGTGATTGTTCAAGCCAGCAACCGCTGAAGCATCAGGCACCGCTTCATTCGTGATGAAGTGAAGAATGGAGCACTTTTGACTGAGTAAAACGACAGTAAAAGACAAATTACTGACATGATGACAAAAGGTTTTAGAGTCCATCACATTAAAAGAGCTACACGGAACCAAAAGAGACTATAGCAGCTGTGACTGGGAAACTTGAAGGTTACGATGTTTAACAGCACGTCGGTAATAGGTTCCACAGCATGCAGCCATTTTGTGACGTACAAAGCCCATGTGTCATAAATAGATGGGACTTTCAAATATATTTGATTTTGGATCTAATTTGTCAGATCTTTGTAAAATGTTTTGATATCCTTGTGTTCAGATCATATAATTTATAAGCCGATAAATCGCTTACAGAAATTCAAGAAGCAGGTCTAATTTAACGAATGTCACTTTGAAAAAGAAGCAAAATATGGTAACTTGAGAGATAATCTTTTGATTTGCTCAAGAACGAGACTTTATGCAAAGCTCATGGCAGCGAAATTACGTTATAGCCATTGTTGTAGCGCGTGCAGGACAGTAGTAAAAAGGTACGAGACTTTAACGGTTTTGGTTATGATTTCGTCTGTATCAGCTCGCTCGTCTCGGACATTATGAATGGGAACTTCAATTGATGACACGACATTCTACTTATGTCCCAGTCGTAATCATTTAATCATTTCCCTAAACATTTCAAAAAAGCGATCATAAAGCTTTAAGAACTGCTACTAAATGTAGTTTTCCATTGCAGCAAAATTGTGGAATTGTACAAACCGTGTTGATTCGTAAAGTCGCAGAATTGTGCTCAACGGCAGTTATAAAATTTGGAGATGACACTTGTCTATGCAATAAATGATCCCCTTTCTTGTTGTAACATTGACGCACAAAAGTATAATTCCTTTACACAAGTATTATCGTGGTCCATATGCCACTTGCTTCTTTTCATTCTACCACAAAAATCCTTTTTCCGTATTCATTTTCACAGGCGAAGTACCACCACACGATATCAAGTTTTTGAACTGGCTGCAATGATCGTTACTACCACTTTCGCTCTTGCGATTCCGACGCACTTGCGCTCGGCTTTACCATTGTCCAAAATTAAATTTCTCCATCTTCTAGTGATTTATGGGTGATCGATACCGTAGCGCACAATCTCCACGCGATAACAATGGAAGTATGACGGATGATCGCTTTAATAAACTCGTGACGGAGACGAGCAAGGGCATTTCATCCTTCAATCAGCTCACACGCAGTATCGCGCAGAAGATGTCACTCTTCGGTACACCCCAAGACTCACGTGCTAATCATGTCCAGATCAAGGAAATTACCGAAAAGGGTAATAAACTTGTCACTAAGATAAATCGTCGTTTACAAGAACTAAATCGTGGAGCCAAAGGCGCGTCAGGTCGCACACGACGCACGCAAGTTAACAAACTTTCAGCTGATTTTAAGACCCAAGTGCGTGTTTTTGAAGAAACATGCGAGCGGCTGCTTCAGTCGGAACGACAGTCGGTTGAATTCATTCGCCGTTCGTCACAGAGCTTTAATAGCAGCGACAAACAGCAATCACGCGGTGGCGCAGCATTTACTAATTACAGTGAAGACCAAATTTATGCGCAAGCTAATGTTATAATCTACGATGAAGACGGTAAGTTGGCTTTTTTATTCTAAACATGATATCAAAAAGAATGTTGAGTTGTCGTTATGTTCAAATTTGTGCAGATATGCAGCGGAGAGAAGACGATATCATTCAAATTAACAATCAGTTACGGGAAGTAAATGCAGCGTTTACAGAGATTGACGGTCTTGTGCAGGATCAGGGAGAATTGGTAGTCGAAATTGTGGATAATACGGAAACAGCCAAGGACAATGTCGAGAAAGCGCTGGAGCAAGTGCGACAGGCAGAACAACGCAAAAAGTGTTGTGCATGTTCACGTCTCCAGCTCTTTGGTGTTGCTTTATTGATGCTACTCATCTTCGTCGCGGTAATAGGAGTTCTTGCGACTGCTAAGTAAGGATTCAATCCAGATTCAAGACTGTATTTGTATTGCCAGATAAAGCTGATTGCCACTGTCAGCAAAGAGAGACTTAGCATTGGAGCGCCATTTATCTTTGATAGTGTGTTAAATAATTTTGATTCAAACGTTGTTTGCTGCTCATAACATTTATCAGGTGGCATTCGATGTGGTGGCACGAATGCATCTTTGCATTCTATTTACCGATGAGGCCGATGAAATCGAGCACCGATTTCTGTGATCATGTGAGAAGGTCGTCGAGGATCTAAATTTCGCTTTGACTGGGAATTTCGAAACATGCTTAAAGCTGTAGACTTTAGCATATTTCGAATCGGTCCAATGCTATTTCGTCGAGAGCGTAAACCTGCGTCCAAAGTGCTTGTCGCGTCGTCCGAAACACGATGGCGTGAAAGAAATTGTGTTCGGGATGTTGCAATGGAAGACGAGCTATTTAGTCGTTTAGTACAGGTACTTGAACCTCTGCTACCCATGTGTAGCTTTGAATTGATAGAAAACATGGCCGAGAATGGAACGGCTATGTCACGCTCGGATGAGTCGAAGCACACGACACAAACACGTTCCTTCTCGTTGACAGCTTCGACAATGCCATTAAAGTATCGGGCTGTACCATGGACTCGAGCCATCACAGCTTCTCCGATCGTGTAAGTCACACGTGAGAGCTCAAACCCCATTGTATCAATGCTGTAATTAGTTAACCGCTGCGTATGCGAAAGAGCAGTTGTATCATCTAATCGGGTGATCTTGTCGGTCGGCACATGCGTTGTTTGTTCACCATAGTCGAATACTAAGGTGTACTCAACGCTATCTGTTGCAATAGACTGAACTATCGAAGACGCTGATCGGTCGACACCAGGCTCGGACTCTGAATCACTGATGGAGTCATTGAAAGTCTTGGCTCTTATTTTAGCAGAACAATAGCGTCCAAAACGTGAGCTCCATGCAAGGACATAGTCATCTATAGCATACACGGGCATTTGAAGCGTCCGATTCCTCGATTCATTAGTGCAAAATCGAGCTTGTAACTGAAAACGCTGATTCTCGATGCTGTCAATAATCATTTGAGATGGAAAGACTTCAAATATAATAGTCCCATCTGAAAAACGAAGATCACAAGCAGAGGAAGGGTGTATTTTGATCACGACGCAACTTTCGACGGCTGCCTTACGTGGATGATCTGCTTTAACTTGGTACCCTTCCTCTAGGACTGGAATTGTTCGTTTCCCTCCACTTTGTGCGGTTGCCGAGGCCTGCATTAGCACAGCATTTTTCAATGACCTTACATCAAGATCTAAGGGCACACTAAGCCGCTTGCGCTTGTAGATTAGATGAGGAGGGATTTCGTAGCCTGTTGAGCCGTCCGCGAAGTCAACAGCAGCAGTATTGTTTGAGTAAACTCCATTTAGATGCCCGACTTTTTCTTCCTCGCTTGTGGTACCTAAGTCATCATTCTCGGTCATACATTTGACGTATATCTGGTCACCAATGTACACTTTGACCTTGTTATTACAAACAAGGAACTGATCCTCCGTGATCGAAATTGTGGCTTTCTTCTTTTCTTGCACAGGAATGATCTTGTCTATCGGAACATTTACTAATCGAATACGACTTTCAAGCAACACGTGAAAATAAGTTTGAGATTCTTGTTCGAGGGTAATCACACCACGACCACAAAAGCGGGTTTCAGGATGAAGTGAGACTTGCACTTTTTGACCAGCAAAAAACACGCGTTGTGATCGCTCAATATCTGTAAGTTGTTGCTCCAGTTCGTTCACTGATGGCAACAGTTCCACTTTATTTTGTGGTACTACCTCAACTGTAAGACTGTCTTCGTCTTCCGTTAACACGGCATAGCTTCCATTTTCAACACGACGTGTAACTGCACCATAGGCCCGGATGCCGTTAGGAGCTCGTTCGTACACAACTCGAACACTATCACCAGCTTTTTGGGTAGCATTACATCGATCCGAGCGCATCGTATAGAGCTTTGCTTCCATTAGACGAACATGTTCGGCAAGAGCAAGTTCATCCGTGAGTTTCGTCGGCTGTACTCTTCTATTACCACGTAAGAAGTATTCGACGATAATCTGCCAAAAACTTTTTGGTGTTATTGAATTCTGCTGCCTCCTGCCTTTATGTGTAATCGATATTCGTTCGATTTGAGAAACTGATGACATCGTCGCCCTTCGTCCCGTTCCTCGTTGTGGACGAGTAGCTTTAGTTATGCCAAAAGTCTGTGTCATCTGTTGCCACGGTGTCATTAGCATGTCTTCGTCACTTGAATCCTCTGAATCACTAGCTTGAGTTGAGTCATCCTCGTACGCTACACCACAATCGAGGCGAGTCATATTCAGAGCTTCATCTTGAATGACACATCGCTCGTTCTCAGTCTTTGGTTGACTGCATTTAAAAGAAGTTACTCCAACTTCAGCCACAACGCAATTGTCGTCAAAACTGAGTATAACTTCTCGTGGTGGAGTCAAAGAGAAGTCTACCATAACGTGCTGTGAAGGAAGAAGTCTCATTTCAGGAGCTACCAATGCGTCTGGACAATGGTTTACAATGTCATCGTAGAGCATTTGTTGAGATTTTCTCCGCAATTTCATGTCAATAGCATACTTTTCGGTTAAATTGCTATTGCTTTTAGCGCTGGACGCATCACTTTTTCTTCGTGTGCAAGGACTGTTCTTACTTTCATCTACACCATGTTTTTTCAGCATCTGGTTACTTGTCGTAAGCATCTCTCGTACCATTATGTCTTCTCGTTGGACACGATAATTGATAGTTCCATCGTCAAAAACAACCATAAACATACCTGCACCCAAATAAGTAGCAAGGTTACCCGAGTAAAAGTATGGTGTCCTCTTGTATCGTCCAAATACACGTTGACCATACGTCCACAGATTATCTAATGGTACAAATCTTGAAACGGGACTGGATAGTATAGACTTGATGACTAACGCGGAAGAAGTAGAATGCTTCTTGGCAGGATTGGTTTCTGATTGAGATAGCTCATGATGATGATAAGTGTTAACATGCGATTCTCCATTATCGCTCCGTTCTTGAGTATTGTTTGCACAGGGCATTGACTCTACTGGCCTGATTAATGTGCTACCTTCCTCGCTGTTCAAATTCCAATGAGTCTGTTGACGCTCACTGCGCTGTCGCGTTGATAAACTTGGTCTAATAGCAAGCGCCCCATTATCATGGAGCGTAATGCGTTCACTAACTTGCCGGCTTGACAATTTAGGAACTTGCTTTGCTGGGTGCTCGAGCTTACCGGACGGCAAACAGGAAGTTGAATTTGTTTCGAGGCTTGGAGAACGTGGTCGACTTCTAAGTGAAGTAGCAGCCACATTTTTTTGGATTTTGACAGACTCGACATCATCATGGAGCTGACGCTGGCTTTTTGGCTTGCTGGGCGAAGCTGATCGACTTGAAACTTTTGAAGGCATTTCGTGCATGTTGATTGAAGGGATTTCAACGTCTTGACGTTGGAGATGAGCATCAAGCTGCTGTGAAAGCGCTGATGAGTTGACGATTTCAAAAGTCCTTGTCAATGATTCATCCTGATTCATTTCCGATTCGATCTCACAGATTTCAAAATGTCCATTTAATTGAACTGCCGATGATCGTCTTGAAAGCAACATTCTGGTCTCTTGAGTCTCCATCGACATTTGATCGTCATGCGTGGAGAATTTACTGATGGACATTAGCTTTTTTATAGATGTTGACGAAGATGTCAATCCTTCATTGATATCTAGATTAGCATATACAAAACTAGTAAGAATAACTCGTTCTTTACAATACTATATTCTGCTATTAGTAGACGAAACTTTCAGCCAATTGTCAAGTAGCGTGACGATCGCGATTCACGAGGTCGCATCGCCAATGCCCTCGTCGATGCAGTCACAGCTGCATACAAAAGATAATAAGTGCATTTTGCGTTTCTTTATAGCGTGGAGAAGGCATTCACACATACAGAGCAAACGGCGAAAGGTATGGAATTGAATCTGGTGCACACAAAGAGTCGAAGCTGATTACTGACCGTATTGTCACAAGATAGCGAGTTGCTGCTGCATGTCGTAAAGGCGCTATCTTTTTCCAGCGATTGTATTGGACAAGATGGAAGGTGATGGTGGCGAAGAGTCATCAACGTAGACAAGAGGATAAAACGACAAATATGGTGGAAAACAAATACGAGGTACAATTAAAGAACGATGATATGACCATTCGACAATCAACGTCCTTCTTTATGAAAAGCTGTAATCAAGATAACAATCACACTGCAGTTTCATTACAAAAGCAGCAGCATATGAAGGTACCATGACAATTGAATGCGATCTTATGTTTAAAATTCTTGATAGTGCCTTGGATTCTAGATACTGAAACATGTGATACAACAAAGCGATAACGAGGCTGTGGCATGTACTAGCGAGAATACCATCAGCTCGATAAATGCTTTCCGACATTGGCAAGAAATTGTAAGGAGCAAAAAAGATCGTGTCGCGAAACAACAACAAGCCAACTTTTTTTTATACTACTGGCTACTAAAACGCTCCTTGAGTCAGCTTAATCATTATGCGCTTGTTAAAAAGCGTGAACGCACGCTATTAGTTGCAATTCAAAAATCGAGTCGACTACGTTTGCTGATAAAAGCAATGCAGAAATGGCGACTACAAAAACGTATGCACCAAATATTTATTTGTTGGCAAGATCACGCTCGGCAGCGACACAATCGAAGATTATCGTACCAATCGACTGCGGATGCTCTAAACCGCAAGCATCAAGACCTCGCTCTTCAATTTGCATTTGATATTTGGGAAAAACAGTCTACACGACTTCGGGCACAACACGCCCTTGTGCATCTTCTGGACCGTCATTTGTACCGACACTTATGTAAAAAAGCGTGGAAAGTATGGACTGTAACGATACGTCAAGTTGTACAAGTTGAGTCGCTCCAGCGTCGTTATCATGAGCGAAGTTTACGGTATATTTGGCATATCTGGAGTTCCCAGACTCGAGCAAAGGAACAGAGGGAACAACAAAGGCGTCGGGCGGTGCGCCAATACTATTTATCCATCCTACGTAAAGGTTTTGTTGGATTTCGAGCGTGGTGTACGCAACAACAAATAACTCGCCATCGAGTTGACTCGATGCAAGATGCAGCAGACAATAGAACAATGGCATTGGCTTTCTCACGATGGGATCATTTCACAAGCGAAAGAAAACGTTATGCTGGAAAAATTAAACGCGCTTTGCGCCACTATCAATTGCAACTGCTGAAACGTGTTTGGTCAAAAGGGCTTCAGTGTCTTCTGAAGAAAGCGTCGGTAAGAAAAGAAAGAAATCTCATCGCATACAAACAAAATTATACTCAAACTCTAAGGCGTGGCTTTAGCATATGGAGGTCTTTTTGGCAAGCAGAGTGTCATCGTAATCAAGTGCTGGATCAAATATTACACAGAAGTGTGAGGAGAAGAAATCTTTTGAAGACAAATACTTTTTTTGAAATCTGGGTGGAGTTTGCACGCGCGAAAGCTGCTAATAGGATCGTGAACGCGCAGGCACGAGGTCAAGCACAACAACGAACGCTACTCAAGCACTTTTCGCGATGGATCACGTATGTCTCGGTTGTACGGTGGCAAGAAATCACGCAAGCACGAGCAAAACAGCACTATCGATTTGTCATCTGGAAAAAATGCTTGAAAAGATGGCGACTAAATGTAACCTTGCGTCACCGTCATCGCAATGCGACACGTGTGGCTTTGGTGCATTGGAAACTGATATTACAGCGGAAGGTAGTCGAGGGGTGGAGACGATATTTAAACCTCAAAAGGATGAAGCAGCGCCGTATTCATGAAGCTCTCGAGTTTCGACACGAACAATTTGTACGTGAAGGTTTGCGGCATTGGTTGACGGCTGCACTGTATATACAAGAGCAGCGTGAACAACAAATCGTGCGTACTCAAGCAGACAACACAACCCATATTTGGCGTAAAGTTGCAGCAATAGCGCGTCACTGGTATTACCTTACCATACGGCGCCGAATTAGCAACGATGAAGTTGCAGGGTGCCAAAACTTTTATGGAGATGCAGTAGCGAGTTCCAAGAATGTACCAAGACTAGTCCAAAAAAACGCATCGTGTCAATTGTCTCAAAATCCCCCGGGACCGCCGCAGCATTCAGCACCCTATTCAGGGAATATTGACACGTTTGAAATAATAAACGTATATCCAAATAATGTTGAACGTTCAACTTTTCAATCCCCACTATCAGAGTTTGTCATGATTCCAAGAAATCGACCACAACCTCGTCGACCCGTCGAAGTTTTATTACTTTCGCGAACCAATGCAGATGATAAAATTCCACACAATCAGACTGCAAACATGACTGAAGCCAATCGATACGGCTTTGACTTTCCTGTTAAAAAATTTGTTCCACTGTGCTTGCCGAAAGACAAAGATTCGCTTTTCAACAACTCGGAGAAGCAACAGTCTGTGATGACTTCTCAAGCACCAACATCGCGCCAAGTTCGCTCTTTTCCAGCGTCAATACAAGGATCCAATAATTTTACAAAGTTCAGCACCACTGTGAGCCAGTTAGACGTTCTGGAACATCAACTGGAGTCACTATGCCAAAAAAAGAAGGAGCGGAAGACCGCACAAGATCAACTCGATATACTGCGTAAAAGAGTTAAGTCAAATCCGCAACTTATGCCCGAGATTCGTGCGATGGAAAAGCAGCTTAGCAATTGTACGACGCGCTGGCTCCGCGCAAAAGAATCGATTAGTCTGTTGGCAACTGAGATTGACAATCTGAGAAGAGTTTTACAAGGATAAAGCCACGGAACTGTTTAGTCATGTGCCAGCTTCAACGTCAGCATTAATTCATCGCAGTAATGTTTTATATTCTTGTATAAGTGAGGCACATTTGTCAAAGGCGATTTCAAAGTCGGCATCTTCCATCCCATACTGTTTATACCAGTGCATATAGGCGCCGGCTTGAAACTGGCGCTGCGCTTGCTCAAGTAAATGTGTTGTGCTCGCCAGAAAGTTGCCATTATTAATACAAATCGTCGCAGAAACCTTTGCTTGCAATGATGAAAATGGTGCAGGTTTACTGTAAGAGACTGTGGCTTGTGGCATTGTTGACAACCAAGGTACAGATGGAAATAACTTAAAAATGGTGCGGCTAAGCTCCTCAGAAAATTGACACGTTCTGCTTGAAGAAGGATAGAAGCCGCGTATGATAGTGCTTGATGCCAATGCTGAATAAGAATTTCGTGGAAACGAACCTGCTGTCTGCTGTACGAGCTTCTTCAGCAAGTCCAAACTCATGTCAAAGTTCACGACACGGTCACGCTGATATGCCAGCGTACGTGCTTGAGTGACCACTGGAGCATGAAATAAAGAGGCTGAAGAGCCTCTTTTTGTGAGCTGACGTCCAAACGATGGGACACGGTCTCGCCATAGGCCGGAACGAACATCAAGCATTTTAGCTGTAGACATGGGACACACATCGTGCAGTAGCTTGCCAAAATCAAACGGTCGGACAGAACTTGCATCTTCGGTCGTCACGGGAAAGAGCAGTCCTGCAAGGTCGGCAGCAGCTATACTATTAGCTTCCTCTAGAGAAATTATTTTGTTCTCGTTAAAATTTCCAGCTTGATCCCGAATCATCGTTTTCCAATGATTGACAGTACGCAATAAGTCGTCATTGTCCTTGTATATCACAGCATCAGCAACATCCTGTAAAGTTTTTAACGTCAAAATTGCATTATAATTCTGAAGGGGTGTGTCTCCGCGAGTGCAGGATGGCGCGACAGATGCAGTGACAATATAAGCCTTTGGGTACGTATCTCGCATAGTTTCCATTATTCGACAACCAAATCCTGCACCTGTTCCTCCACAAAGTGAATGCATGACAATGCTACCTTGGTAAAAATCTACACTTTCGATCTCACGTCGTAATGATTCCATAACTGCATCTGTTAGATCTCTCTTATCGTCCATGCTTGATGACGTGAGATTCGAGAGTGGAGACTTAAAGTTCGGTCCGTAATATCCCATGGCCCAATTATTTCCTCGACCCGCTTGTTCCACGTGCGTAAACGCAGGACGAAATGAAAACATATCACCTGTAGTAGATGTACATAAAGATTGCACGACTTTGGGTTCCGTGTCTACGAGAATACAGCGTGCAGCTCCAGTGGACGGATGAAACAAGTGTCTAGGAAGTGTTATTGAGCCATTGACAGCGACAGTATTTGGTGCACGACGACGCTGACGATTTTTATCGAAGTCATTATGAATATGACTCTCTTCGTGAGTAGAGTTTGAAGCAGAAGCCAAGCGCCAGTACGCGGCGCCTAACTGGTTGCCGCATTGACCCAATTGAATGCACACACTCATTATCGAGGTTAGCGTATTCTGACCAATCAAAAGATCTGTGAGTAGTGACGTTTAGAACGTTTGACTTTTTCATATTATATCATATCTGTCGTAAACGATCCCGTCATCGAAGAACGGGTCCGGTAAACTGGCAGCCACATTCCCGCCGGTAATGTACGAACATCTCGTCCTCGCTCGATGTGTCTAAGTCGTCGACCTTAGCGATGCCAAGTAATCGAGGAATGCCACGACCCTTTTCTTGGTCAATGTGCGCTTGAGCATTGCAAAATTGTACGCATTTGCGACCCATCGTTCGGCGGCATTGCATTTGAACCGAACACGCAGTTTGCTGAGGACGCGCTTCCTATTCTTGTGGTTGCGTCCCCCGCCGACAGCACAGCCGGATTGCAGAGCATCCACACGAGCATAAGAGTCAGCGGTATGTTGATTGTCTTCAAGTGGTATTTAATGGTACGTGTCATGTTGTCGCAGTAAAGTTTTACAGTCTCAATCACCTCAGACACATGGTGCGCTATCGCGAAGAAGCAGGCATGGACTGATGAGGACGTGGCTTTGTCGCCTTCCAGGTAGCCCGTAGCTGCTTTCAATGGCTTAAGTTAGACATTCAAGGCAACCATTCCCTTTCAGAAACCCGTCGAGGCTCATTTTGCGCAGTGCTTCGAAAACTAGACGTTGGTGTACTTGTCGTCGAAATCGATGGTGTGCGGCATCGATACCAGCGCACTCTTGCAAGTAATTGCACGCTGCAACGGTTCAAATAGAACAGCGCGACGGAAAGAAACAAGGAGAGGGCGTTTCTTTATTTCTCCGTCCTTCCGGATGCAGACCTTGTCGAACATCGCGGACAGAAGGTAGACGGCGAGCACAATTGTTATTATCATAGAGGCAAACCCAGTGATTTCAACAAAACGTGACGTACTTCGGTTGCTGTCGTTATTGTGCGCCGTGGACCTTTGAAAAATGAAGCAGTAATGTCCATCAGAACTATACTGGAAGGTACGCAAGTTGATCTGAGATTGGCCAGATGCTTCATTTACTCGAAAGCACGATTCAACACGTCTTCACCAGACAAAGTTGCCGAATTTTTATCCGATGGACGAGTACCAATTGCATTTGATAACCTTAGTCGTCTAGCCACCAAAAGCTTTGAATTCTTCTTCTTTTCGTTTGGCGATCTCGTGAGCAATGTGGTGGATGGTTTCTCTTTGTTGCAGACCTCAGAATCATCAAAATATTAGCGATTTCTCCATCATATTCAAAAAGATGCCTGTGCGCTCACCACCACTCAAACGCTTACTTTTCAGATCGCTGAAGAGAGCCCCGAGAATTCCAGTACGGTTTGTCCACCTAGTCCGCACCTTTACTGAAGGCCTGTCTGGGAATAAATCCGGCGTGATCACGAATTCTTTCCAATCCTTTATTTTCATCAATCTATCATATGCATAGACCGACCACGTCATTGTTATCAAACTCCATAAGCGCACGCTGAATTAATGAGGGCGTCTAGTTAGGTAGAGCGCAGTTTTAAAACGCCCTATGGTAGGTGAGCGCATTATTTGTAGGGCGTTATTATAGAAGGAACGCTTAAATAGAGCGAGAACGTTAATATCACTTTACGAAAATTTTACTAATGTCGATGATATAATCAAAGAGCAGAAGTGTACGTACTGTGTTATCATATACGTCTTTCTTAGCGATGCATTTCCAGCTTCAAAGTTTGCTCTGTCCGAGGCGACCGGTAAGCTCATTGTACTTGGCAGTACTGGTGAATAACTCCTTAAATAAGTCTTAAAGACCGTGTTCGCTGCGGGGATCATTACGAGTTGCTCGCTTATCTGTCTTCGGTGCAACAAGCCACACTTTTATTTTCTTTAGTAATTCTCGAGAGGCTAGCATAACTGGAGGCCCAAGGACGGAATATGGTAATTAAGATGGCAATGTTGAAGTTGCGTCTCTGTAACGGGGTTACACGTACCCTGGTAACAGGGGTGTGTGTCACACGAGATGTGCATG